GGTCTACCTCGTCCAAGAACAAATGTAACCATTCAAGACCGTGTTAGCCTTCCTGCCTCAGATAAAGGGATTTAAAAATATGAAGGTCACAATTACAGGCACACCAAAGCCAACCACCAAGTGCCGTGGAGTTGATGCCTGGTCACGGTGATTCCAAGTTTGCAGAGTTAAAAAACTCCGTAGAGATAAAAACAAAAAACAAAAAACAACTCCGTAGAGTTTTCCGGGCCATGAATTTCATGAAGCAGCTCACCAGGCCTCTTTGCTAAGCACCTCTGGGCAAGTGAATTGCCGAGCTTTTGGCCAGCTGCCAAGTGCTTAACACTATGCGCTGCTCAGGAACTCTGAGTAAATATATGAGCTTCGTATTCATTACCCACCAAGCACCAGGCCTAGAGTGCTTCACTGATGAATTCTGCCAAGCATTCAAAGAGGAAATGATATCGGACCTCCACAATCTATTATAGAAAAGAGACCAAGCGAGGGAGCACATTCTAACTCATTCTGTGAGGCTAGCCTTAACCTCATGCCCAAAAAAAAGACAGAAAAAGAAAGGAAAGGTTTTCATGAGATCAGATGCAAAAACCCCCAAGAAGGATAGTAACAAATCAAATTCAACGACATATAAGAAGCAGCTCATACTACAGCTAAGTAGGATTTCTTTCAGGTGTGTAAGTCTAGTTCAACATTTGACAATCAATCCAGCCAATCACATCAACAAGCTAAAAAAAGAAAAATCATGTGACCAAATGAATGACTAGGGAAAATCCATTTCCCAAAATCTAATACTCATTTAGGCTAAAATTGTCAGAATACTAGAACACAGGAAAACTTCAAGTTAATAAATGATATCTACCCAAAACATCTACTAAAATTGGGACTAGAACTAGCCCTCCCCACTCTGGTTCAACACGATGCTGACAGTCTTACCTTTATTTCAATGTAAGAAGACAAGAAACCGAACTCTAGGTATACAGACTAAGTAAGAAGTAAAACTCTCTTTAGTCACAGATAACGTGCTTGTCTATGTAGAAAATTTCAAAGCATTGACAAAAAAAGTGTTGGAATAAATGACTATGAGCAGACCACAGGATAAAAGGTTAGTGGATACAATCAATTGTTTTTCTTTATGCCGGCAATGAATAATTAGAACTTGAAATTAAAAATATAATATTTACATTAGTATCAAAATTAAGTAACATTCTTAGCTATAAATATAACATCAACCCCGATGATTCAGTGGTTAAGAGCTCAGCTGCTCTGTCCTATAGGGTGATGAGTCAGAATTAACTCAATGACAGTGGAGTTCTTTATTCTTAATGCAGAGGAGATTTGAATATATTTGTAGGCTGAGGGAAAGAATCTCATGGAAAGTGAGAGATAAAATATATAACTTTGAAAGTGGATGATTGATCCAGCAGAACCCTAAAGGAGTCGTTTCAAGCTTCCCTCTATCTCAGAAGCACCTGAGAGGGCTAATTAATATACAGACATCAGATGACACCTCTAGGTTTTGATTGCAATAAGCCTGAGGTGGATGTTTTTAACAAAATTCCAGGTGATTCCAACATAGCGAGTTTAAACTCAAAACCAACCCAACCTGTTGCCATCAGTCAATTCCGACTCACAGGGCAGAGCAGCACCGCCCCAGGGTTTCGGAGACTGTATATATTTATGGGAGAAGCTTGTCACTTGTTTCTCTTGAGGAGCAGCGGGTGGATTTGAACTGTCAACCTTTCCCTTATCATCCTAGCATTAACCACTGTGACACCAGATGTCTTTGATCCTAGGATCACACAACTTGGGAAATTCCAGGGCTCCAATGAAGGTAAAAATCTTTTTTTTTCTTTAAGGTTAAAAATCTTAATGAAAGAACAGAGAAACTGCTCAGCCACTCATGGGGCGGGAGCTGAGGATTTGTTTGGCGGCCTCCCTTTTCTTTGAGGCAGGAGGTGACATCTCAATGAGCAAGCTATGTGTGGATGGGAAGGCTGGGAAGGAGAAGGTCTTTCAGGCAGCAAACACGGCATGAGCGGATGGGGGAGACCTAGCATATGCCAAAGAAGAGCCATTTATCCAGCTGGTGGATACTGAAGCCTGGGTTAAGAACCGCGGGAAAGGAAACGAGGTTCTGTTTGCTGGAGCTAGGACTAGGAAGTTAAAGACTATGGACTTCATTCTGCAGGCCAGGAGGAACCATCAGCTCTTGATTGCAGGAGCTTTAAAAAACGTTCTTTTATTGGGAACTAATTATACGTTCATATGCAAGTATCAGAAATGACGCCGAGGTCCTGTGTGTTTACACACAAGCTAAGAACCCCTGGTAGCCCTATGGGTTAGCATTGGGTTGCTAACTGAAAATCCAGCTGCCTCATGGAGAAAGAGGGCTGTCAGCACCTGTAAATGCGTACAGCTTGAAAACCCTATGTAGCCTCACTATAAGTCAGAATGGGTTAGTTCATCCTTTAAACAGCTTCCCCCAGTGGCAGCACATATTTGTGTGTGTGTGTGTGTGTGTGTGTGTGTGTTACAATTGGGACATTAACCTGAATACAGTTTATAAAACTTACTCAGATTTTTCCCAGTTATATTTGTCTTCATTTGTGTAAGTACGTGTGTATTTATGATGTGTAGGTTTGTATATCTACAACCATCTATCATGCTGCCCTTTGATAACTGCCTTCGTCTCTCTTCCATATGCTTTCCCTGAATGCTAATCCTTGGCAAATACTAATCCTCCTTTTCTATAATTTTGTCATTTAAAGAATGTTATGGAAATGGAATCACACAATATGTAACTTTTTGATACTGGCTTTTTCACATAGCTCATTTTGGGTGGGAAGACAGCTACTTTTTTGTGTATATTGACAATTCATTTCTTTTTCTCGCTGAGTAATGCTTCATAATATGAATGTACGACAGTTTGTTTATCCCTTCTCTCACCGAAGGACATCTGGGTTGTTAACAGACTCAAGCTGTTGTGAATTCAGCTGATATGAACACTTGTCTAGAGGTTTTTGTGTGAACATAAATTTGGAATAAACACTCAAACGCGCAATTGCTAGGTAGCATATTTAGTTGTCAGTTTAGTTTTTATAACAAACTCTACAAACTCCTTTCCAGGATGGCTAAACTATTTTGCATTAACAAAGTATGAGGAATTCAGTGTCTACCCATTCTCACCAGTATTTGGTGTTATCACTGTATTTTTTAAAAAATTATAGCCATTTTGATAGATATGTAGTGATATTACCATTGCAACTTGCGGTTTTCTCTAATGGCTAATGGTGTTGTGTAGATTCGGGTTTCTGTTCTGTTGTTTTGTAATTGTGTGGTTTCTATTGCGGTATTCTTAACTTTGATGATTTTTTAATCCCTGTTATTGACCCTATTCAGAGAGCTTTTAAAATTGTCTTTGATTGTTTTTCAGTTTCATAATGTCTATCTGATCTTTAAAGGAGCTGCGGTGGTGTAGTAGATCCTAGCCACCCGCTGCTCCGCACGAGAAAGACTGCCGGATTTCGGCTCCGTGAAAGCGCGACAGGGTTAGAAACGCGAAGGCGCTGTCTTGCTCTGTCCTTTAGGATGGCTGTGCCGGAACCAGCTTGATGCCAGTGGGTTTTGTTTGTTTGTTTTGGGGGGTGCTTATCACATCATTTTTATGATTTTTATTACTTTAACTGGGATTTTTTTTCCCTTCCAGAAAATGTTTCATTGCTCAACATACCCTTAGGAGGCTGCTTTACATTCCTTGTCAGATGATCGTAAAATCTGATTCCTCTGTGTTGGTGTCCGTTGTTTGTCTTTTCTTATTCCCGTTTCTGGTGATCCTTGGTGGTATTTTATTGTGTCTTGGGCACCGGGCTATTAGAAGAAACTCTGGGTCCTATTTAATAGAGCAGAATGTCACTCTCGTTAGTTAGATTTATCTAAATAGAGTTTATCACATAGGTTCCCACCGACTTTGGTTCCCAGAAAGACTTAATTTTCTGTATTGTTGGTTGGTTTGCTTGAATTGATGCAGTTATACCGGGCTAGATCCCTGGTCTCTCCAAAGCCTATGGACTTAAACATTAGGATTCCCGCTCAGAGCTTCTTTCCTCTTCGGAAAACACACAAACACGAAACCTTCTTTTTCCGGCAGGATTTCTGTAAGGAAAAAAAGAAAGAGGGACCTTCTCTACAATTGTGCCGCTTAATGTTTAAAGTCTAAACCACAGGAATGCCTGTCCTGAAGGCTCTTCTCCCGGGCTGTTCTCGGTGGGGCAAACGCTGGGTTTTCTGCTGGAAGAAATGTTCCCTAAGCCAAGTGCTGCGGAGTCTTCGCCGCGGCGGGCACAGATTCCCGCCGGCCGGTCTCTGGCGGGGCGAAGGTAACCGAGGTTGGGGTAGGTTGATCTCCCTGGAGGCAGAGGGGGCAGAGGTAGTGAGGGCCCCTGGTAGGTAAATCCTGTCTATCTATACAGGGCTGAGAGTGTCAATCTCCGAAGCATTGCCATTTGCATGGGTCAGACCGCTTCAAGGTGTGTGTGTGTCCGTCTGTCCGCATTGTCTGACCCCCCTAATGCTTGCAGCATAACCACCCCAGACCCATTCCGATCATGAAGATTTCCCATATCATAAAAGTCAACAGAAACCGAGGTGGCACTTACCACAGACGCAATGCTATTGTGATCGATCGCCCACTAGAAGCCCCCCTCCCCCCG